GCTATATATATTAAAACTTACATAAATCTTGAAGTAAATGCCCAACATTGGACTCTATAGGAGAGGAGGAAAGGGGAGAGAGCAGTTCATCATATTGATGATTCAAATAAATAACCCCTTAGTGATGACAGTGTTGATGACTTATGAGTTATTATTTGATATGTCATTGCTATTTATTTTTTGAAATTAAAATTATATGTTAATGAAAAAAATACTGGGATTTGGGAAAGATAGAATTTTGAGTTGAACTATATTTCATGTTGTCTTATTATTGGGATATTTTGATTTCACTTCATATCTTATGTTTTTTTTTTTTATGTTTTATATTATTCACTCATTAGTATATAAAAAATTTATCATTTTATTTTTACGCAATCTTTTGATTTTGAGGCTTACGCGTCAAAACGCCTTGAGGCTTACGCCTCGCCTCACGAATTGAAAATGCCTCAATACCCGAATAAGCAATTTTAAACATTGGTTCGAGCTATTTGTTCTATTGTTCAAGTCCAAATCAAAGTCCCCTGTGGTCCTTGTAGAGTTCAAGTCCAAGTTCAAAATGAGTTCAATCAAGTTCAGTTCAAGCTTCGTTGTCTTTCAAGTTCATTTAAAGTTTATATTCACTTAGATTTGAATTTATTTAAATCAATTACATCGAGTCAATAAATCTCAAATTGTTCCAAGTCCTTTTATTTCCAACAAAATTTCGGCAGCCTCCCGACGTCTCTCCCGTTTAAGAGAAAAACTAAGAGCCGTCACGTCAAGAAAGACGTGCATGGTTGGTGTTGGTGAGACACCGCGGTGGTGATTTTTTTGTTTGTCATCCACTACGCCAAGAAAGGCGTGCATGGGTTTTTTTTTATTTTATTTTTTTTGAAAAAGCAATTTTTTTATTGCCCCGCCATGCTAAGAAAAGCACACAGGTATTTCCCGCTTTGTCGTAGGCTTCGCACCAAGTTTCCTCCCGCCGTGCCAAAAAAAGCGGGCATAGGGGGTCCCTCGGCGCATTGCAAACGCCGAAAATAAGACTTTTGGAGGGGATTACCTGTCTCGCCACAAGTACAGGAACGAACTTCCTCCCACCGTGCTAAGAAAAGCACGCATGGGTGGTTATTCGCCCCGTTGCAAGTGCCGAGGGTGGGTTATCTCAAGTTTGAGGATTTATTCCTTGGCGAGCGTCGGGGTAGTGTTACCATGCGGATTGAGGCAACACTTTTTTTTATCTCTCATAAAAACACACGCACATACATATATAATGGAATTATTATTATCATTATTATTGATAGTGATAATACTATCATTAATAAAATTATTAGTAATAATATTATTGCTAACAATAACATTAATACTAATAAATAGTTTATGTTAATATTAACACTAATAATAAAAATAATATAATAGAAACTAATAATAGTAATCAATATACTAAATATACTATATTTAATAATAACATTAATTACTAATAATTAATAACTAATAATAATAATAATAAAAAGAATCCTATACCTATAGGCCTCGGTTTGGGCTTGCCGCAGGGAGGAGTGGAGATGGGGTTTCGGACTACAGGCGACTTAAAGGGGGCAACGGGATGGGGCGTAGGTAGTGGAGGTCGGCTCAGGTAAAGCTTTGGGTTCGACTGAGAGGAAGGGCGACAACTTGGAACTAGGAGCTTGGATAGGTCAAGTGTGGTTTTGGGGTGGAATCGACGGGAGGAAGAGGAAGATGCGGCAATGGTCTCACGGCAAGGAAGAAGGGACGGCTAGGTATGGAGGAAGCTCTCTCTCTCTCTCTCTCTTTCTCTCTCTCTCTCTCTCTCTCTGGGCAGAAGAGCAAGAGCTCGGAAAGAGCTTCGGAAGATGGGAGGAGGCTGGCTTCTGAAGTTCGGTCCTATTGGACTCGACGGAGAGAGGCCGAGATTTGGGGGTCTTCGATCGTGTGGGAGCAAGGAGCGGAAAAAGCTGAAGGTGTTTGGAGGTCTGGGAATGGGAGGATTCGCGTGTGTGAGAGCCCGAACGAAGTGAACTTCGTTCTCTATTTAACGACGATCAGAGCATCATTTCGAGCAATGTCTGAGGGATGGGCGACTGGATTCGACGCCGTTTGTAGAGATCTGAGCGAGACTTGAACGGGATGTTAGCAGGATTTTGGTATGGGGCAGATGTCTGGCTAAGGTATGTGATAATTTGAGCATTTTTTTTATTTCTATTTTTTTGTTTTCTCTTGACTGTAGTAAGGAGATCAACAGTCTCGTCGAGCAGCTCTAATTCAATTATAAGCATGCTATATTTGGATATCATTTTATCAACAAATCAATATTCTGAAGCTTCTAAATATGCTTTAAGATATTGATTTGGGACATTTTGGCTTGGATTGGACCAATTTTTATGTCATTGGGTTCGTCTAGTCGAGACATTCAATTTGACTATAGGTTTGCTCAAAACATAGTTTGGAAGGTCCCAAATTAATTTTGGAAGTTTCTAATTCCTATATGTATCGAGATTCGCGCCCGATTAAGATGATTTTTTTTTAAGTATCAACCATATAGATTGTCTGAATCTAATTGCAATGGAAAAAATTTGATGAAAAAGTTAAACATGGTAAGGACGAGAATAGGAAGATGGATTTGTAGTAAAATAAAATTTAAATAAATATTTAGTTGGTAAAAAAAGGAATCAATGAGTAATCAATAAAAAAGAAAAAAAAAAGGTGAATCTAATGTAATTTGACCAGACTGAATAAATATTTTGCATCAACTGCATCTAATAAGAGAATATGACACTGCAAAGTACATGGAATGAGGCTAAGAAGCTAGCATATTTGCATGCCAGCATTCTAAGGTCTAAATGCATGTAAAAGATAACTTGTATAGTCAATCAAAGTACCTTTTTATTTTTTATGCGGTTGGAGACTACCAGAGTTAACTTTGCTGTGAAGTCACAATGCGTCAGAGTATAGGTTCTAGAAGCAGCATTCAGAGCCTGCTTCTCCGTATCATCTCCAACAAAGACTACCTTAAGTTTTGAAGCGTCAAATCTTGTTGGTGGACCAAAAAGCCTTGCAGCCTGAACTAGAAACACCCAAATGCTAGCACCAAGCTTTTAATTGCTCATAGGAATGAGATAAGAATAAGCAATGCATATCAAAGAAACTACAAGTTGTCAAAGTTTATGCACGTTCATTTTTAAATAAATTCAAAATATGCTTCAAGTAGAACTAATACATAGGTACTTAAAGATTTTAGAAAATATCAATTATTTAGATTGATAACACACTCTCAACCTAAATGTGGCAAAGCACGAACTATCATATTTGAAGTAACTCCCATGCAAACGTTTGTAGAGATAGACAATCCTTTTAACCATTGAAGACATTTTCAGAATGTGATAAGATCACAGGTCCAATTAAAAAAAAAACAATTAACTCACGCTTCATGTGAAACCTCTATTTATTTCTCAGTCTAGGAAAACTAATCAATTTCTCAAAACCCGCATTCACAACAGAGGTAAATAACCCATGTATTAGTTTCCAGATCAATAGAAAGCTACAGCCCTATTTCACGGAAGGCAAATTACCGTGATTATGGACCTAGAGAAACTGCACTGCAACATTAAAAGAAACCTAATTGCTGTATTTCAAGTTGCTAGCATTAACCCTAGTCAGCAGCAAATCAAGCATATTAGTGCAATCCAGCGATAAATAGTAAACACATTAAGAGAACGAATGTAAAGGAGGTTAAGGCTGAATACCAGGCAGCCATTGGAGTAACTCCTGTCATAGGATTGTATCAGAAACTGCTTGCCCAAGCCATTGGCGGATGAAGATCTTCGTGATTTTGTAGATGAAAAAGAGATGAAGCTAAGAAATATATTTGCATTCCTAGCTGAGAAACAATAAACCATTTTACAGCCCTAATGGAGAGAACGAAGAACTTCAAGTGGAAGGAGCGTTTGCACCCTCTCCTCTCCCACAGCTTTCAGCTCTCTCACTCACTCTCCCTCTTTTAATTTTTATAATTAGTGGACTGCGTCCGCCGTGCACATGTAGCAGCCCTTCTTAATCAGAAATTATTTTGTGCGCAATCCAATCACAGAGATGTGTTCGGTTTTACGTGGAAAGTAAAAAAGTCAATTGACTCGCTCAACCAGCTAAGGTCCCGTCAAAATTATTTCCCAAAGGCCCGACCCAGGAGATAACATTAAATATAGGTTGGCGCCTCTTTTTTCGTAATTTAAGGCTCAAATCACCGCAATATATAACTCTTTCAGCCAAAATTTTTGCTGAAAAAATGCCGATGAAGATGGAGATTGATCTGAATCTGGAGGAGGATATTGGTTTTTATGAGCAGACAATATTTTCGCAGGTCTCGGAGGAAGCCGATAACCTGGAGAATACCGACGTCCAGGAAACAAGCGCACATGAAGCAGAACACCCAAAACCAGTGCGACTGGATGAAAAGTTCAGCTTATCAGTAAAGTTCGCCTTCCTCCAAATTTTCTTTATAGCAATGTTGCAATTAAATCTCTTTACATAGTCATTTTTTTTATGTAATTATTTTAGGGTACAAAGATTTTTTATGTTAAATTGTAATTGATTAAAAAAGAAGACTCGATGTTTCCTTCTTTTAAAGTATTATTGAGCGTATTATTGAGCTAGGGTACAATAACGAATTTGTAATGCGAATTTCTTATTGCAAAGTTTTGTTGCCTATTAATTACGTATGTATTGCTTATCTGTTTGATATACATTGAGTATTATCTGCATATTGATTTGGTATGCATTGCGTATTAATTGCGCATATGTTGGGTTTTTATTGCGTATTGGTTGCGTATTGTTTTGCTTAATTACTGCTTATTGGTTGCGTATTGGTTACGTATTGGATAACTTATTTATTACGTATTTATCATGATGTTTATGTTAATGAGAAAGAGGCATACGAGGCTTATCGTAATTATAGCCAAAATCTTAGTTTAATGTTCGTAAGGATCATCACAGTTACAGGCCAAATTCCAGAAATTTAAAATCCAAGGACTTTGTTTGTTCAAAAGCTGATTTCAAGAAGTTGCCTGATCTTAATATCCAAAGAAAATATCGAAGATCAGATACCCGTACTGATTGTCCAGCTATGATTAGGTTTACAGTGGATGAAGCTGGATATTTGAAGGTGAAAAAATTTATTGAAAATCACAATCATGATTTTCCTAGACCAAAAGACCGGCATCTTCTTAGATCATACAAGAATATGTGTGATGAAAAAGCTTCTATTCTTAAAGCAATGACAGATGCTGGGATAAGAATCATTGATGCATTTTACTTCCTTGCTGATGAAGTTCGAGGTGTCAAAAATATTGGATTCACAAGGAGGGATGCGTACAACTTTATTCAAAAAATAAAAAGAGCAAAGATTGAACTTGGGTACACTAATACTTTGATTGAGTTATTTAAAGAACGTCAACTTAATGATAACATGTTCTCTTGGGATATCCAGAAGGATGAATTTGATAGATTGATAATTTTTTTTTGGGGTTGATGGGATTGGTAAGATAGATTATGACTGCTTTGGTGATGTGGTAATTTTTTATATAAGTTATAGGCTTAATAAGTATAATTTGGTATGCGCACCATTTGTCGGGGTTAACAATCATTGGCAAAACATTTTGCTTGGGATGTCTTTCTTGTCCGAAGAGACAATTGAATAATTTACGTGGGTGTTTATAACTTTTGTTCGAATGATGGGTGATAAACAGCCAAAAATAATATATACAGATCAAGACCAAGCAATGGCTAGGGCCATAGAAGTTGCACTACCTCATAGTCGCCATAGACTATGCTAATGGCATATTCGTAAAAAGGCTCCATCAAAAGTATCGTGCTACAATACCAACAACAAAGTGAAAGGCCTCTTCAATAAGTGTTTGAGCAGATGTGACTCTGAGGAGGAGTTTGAGAATGCATGGGCTGAATTGATCATACAAGGGAACCTACAAGATCATGTTTGGTTACAGGATCTTTATAGGTAAGGAATAAGTGGTCAACAGCCTTTAATAAGGATTGTTTTAGCATGGACATTCTATCCACACAACATAGCGAGTCTACTAATAATGTGTGTCATGGCATTTCTAAGCCCACAAGCTCTATAACTAATTGCTTTCTGGGTTTAGAGAAGGTGATGAGGAATTGGCGCTGTAATGAACAGGATGAGGATTATAGATGCAGCCAGTCCGAAATAGAACATATAATAAAAAACTGCTCATTATTAAAGCAAGCTGCTCAATTTTATTCAAAGAAAATATATTCATTTTTTGAACAAGAATTTTTACAAGGTGTTGGTGTAATGAGTGTAGAGCTTGAGTCTAGTGATTTCTTCAAAATTTTTTGTCTATTACATAGAGAAAAAGGATCACTCTAAACCATGGGTTGTTGATTTTGATGCACAAAATGGTAACATTTAATGCTCATGCAGAAAGTTTTAAACGATGGGTTTATTATGTTCTCACTGCATAATAGATTTGAGGCAAATGACTATTGGGAAAATCCCCGAGAAGTACCTACTATTGCGATGGTCAGCACGAGCTCGACAATATATATATTCTGGTCTAAATTTGAAAGAAAATTCTCATAATAGCTCTAAAGCTAGTAGCGGATTCATATTCAGAAATTATATCAGCAGGTTTGCATATGATATGAGCACACGAGCGCAGCTGAATGCGGAGGGTGAAGAATTCCTATTGGCTTCGATGAGGGATACATCTTAAAAAATCGATTTGATTATTTATGGGGAGAGAAAGACATACAAGTCTACACAAGGTGGCAATGTACAACTGAAAGATCCTCTAAAGCGTAGGCCTAAAGGCATATCCAATGCTAGGCTGAAAAGCCACTGGGAGAAGAAGCCAAAGAGTATGATTTCATTTTCTGACTAATTTGATTTATTTTTTATTGTGACATGTTGTCATTAATTTTTTTAACAAGGAAACCACCAGTGAAGAAAAACACAACAAAAATTCCTACTCCTTCAAGCATGCCCGAATACTTAACGGAGGATTTCATAAATTATGTACACTCCAAGCAACCATCAGCTCAGCAGTGTAATTTCACAAGCATGCCCAAATGCTTCATTGAGGACTTCATAAATTTTGTACAGTCTAGTCAGCCATCTCCAGCTAAGCAGTATAATTTCACAAGCATGCCGGAATGGTTAACGGAGGACTTCATATCACAAGTATGCCCGTCTAGTCAGGCATCAGTACAACAGTTCATAACATACCCGAGTGCATGACTGATGATTTCATAGCCGGGGAACCGTCCAGTCAGCCATCAGTAAAGCGAGCAAAGCATTCTAATTTCACAAGCATACCCAAATGCTTCACTCAGGAACACATAAAAGGTGTACGTTCAAAAAAGCCATCAACAATGTACCTGAAGTTGATGATGGATATCATTAAATCAGAAAATTATATGTAATAAGAATATTTGTATTATTATCTTTAGAGATATTTATTTTATAAGGAATATTTGTTTCTGGATATATGCGTATACAATGCGTACTGGATGCATATACAGAGCGTATTTTCCATGTTTCTGAAAATATAATAATTGTCATCTTCTCTATATAAGAAGTTTCCCTCTTGCATTGTCAATAGATCCAATTTCTGTGATTTGCGTATGGATGGCGTATTCCGTGCGTATCTAATGCATATAATAAGCGTACTTATTGCGTATTTTGCCAACCCATAGAAATCCCTATTTATTACAAGGAATGAATGTTTAAAGGCAGAGAAACCCAATATTCAACACTTCCTGACTCTTTTGTTCACGAGACAAAGAATTTCAATCACCTTTGATTCTCCCTATACTACAATGATTGCTAAACCAGTGAAGCATAACACCCACACTCTAGAACCATCAATTGTGTAGCACAAGAGTGTACATAAATACTATGTACCATTGAGAAATTTTTTATAATCATTTTATAACGATGATAAAATGCGTATTTACATGATTCATACTGAAGAAATGCATCGAATTAATTAAATTCGAATTTAATAAATTTTTTAAGAACAAAACAATTTCTGTGATTTGTGTATGGATGGCGTATTTCGTGCGTACCTAATGCGTATAATAAGCGTACTTACTGCGTATTTTGCCAACCCATAAAAATCCCTATTTATCATAAGGAATGAATGTTCAAAGGTAGAGAAACCCAATATTCAACGCTTCCTGACTCTTTTGTTCACGAGACAAAGAATTCCAATCACCTTTGATTCTCCCTATACTACAATGATTGCTAAACCAGTGAAACATAACACCCATACTCTATAATCATTAATTGTGTAGCACAAGGGTGTACACAAATACTATGTACCATTAAGAAATTTTTTATAATCATTTTATAACGATGATAAAATGCATATTTACATGATTCATACTGAAGGAATGCATCAAATCAATTAAATTTGAGTTTAATAAATTTTTTTAAGAACAAAAAAATTTCTGTGATTTGCGTATGGATGGCGTATGCCATGCGTACCTAATGCATATAATAAGCGTATTTACTGCGTATTTTTCCAACCCATAGAAATCCCTATTTATCACAAGGAATGAATGTTCAAAGGCAGAGAAACCCAATATTCAATACTTCCTAACTCTTTTGTTCATGAGACGAAGAATTCCAATCACCTTTGATTCTCCCTATACTACAATAATTGCTAAACCAGTGAAGCATAACACCCACACTCTAGAACCATCAATTGTGTAGCACAAGGGTGTACACAAATACTATTTACCATTGAGAAATTTTTTATAATCATTTTTTAACGATGGTAAAATATGTATTTACATGATTCATATTGAAGGAATGTATCAGATCAATTAAATTTGAATTTAATAAATTTTTTTTAAGAATAAAACAATTTCTGTGATTTGCATATGGATGGCGTATTCCGTGCGTACCTAATGCGTATAATAAGCGTACTTATTGCGTATTTTGCCAACCCATAGAAATCCCTATTTATCACAAGGAATGAATGTTCAAAGGTAGAAA